TGAAATTTTGCAATAATCTTACGCCACCCTTGCACAAAACGACGATAATTTTTCTAATTTCATAGACAACAGAAGACTGTATTTTTTCTACATAAGCCCCCCTCCCCCACCCCTGAATTTAAAGCTGGATTCGCCTATGCGTGTAGTTTCATTCATTTTATACACTGCGAGCAAATTTTTCTTAGCTTTCTGCAATATGGGAGTTTTTTTATTTTGCTCCAAGTTCAAAAGTTCAAGAGTATGAGTGAAATTGTTCACTCGTGCCCTCATCCTTCATCTACAAGGGGTAGCAGTTTCGTTTTAGCAACTTTTTTGGTTTTAAAGCTAGAAATGTGGTTGCGTTCAGCTTCAAGCTTGGAGGTTTCTTTCAATTATTGCTTCCGGATTTTCTCGGAAAATTTAAAAGACTGCCCAGATTTGAGCAAAATGCTGTTGGGGTGTAGTCTAAAGCTTTTTCTGTTAATATCTATTCGGATTTTTAAGTTGCGAAGTATTTTTGTTCCAAATTCGAAGCAGAAAAGGGATTTCAAAACTTTTTGCAAAGCGACGAAGGATTCAAAATTTTTCGCGGAAAATACCTTAAGATTGTCGGCAGTTTTAAGTGAAACTTTAGAAAATTGAGCATTTAACTTGGCTAAAACTGGAAAATTCCGAAATTTTGAAGCTACATTTAAAAAATATTATTAATAAATGGCCCTTAAAATAAATCTTTAAACAAGTTAGAAAAATGTATCAACATTTTCCCAGCAACGGAACTGAGTTACTGCGCCGCTGCGTTGCGTTGGCGCCCCAAGCCTTTTGCGCAGCACTGCGCCAAGGCTTACGCAGGCCTAGCATATGCCTGATTTTATCAGGCAACAAAAATGCGCGCTATTATGAAATTGGCATTAGATTCAGTCAATAAAAGCGCAAAATTGGAAAAAATAGCACGAATGACCAGCTTCCGGTCCGCAACGACTGTAATATGCACAAAACGAAATTAACTGTTCCATCATTGGTTCCGAAAGTGGACTAGAACGAATCTTTGATGCAACAATGTGAATACGAGAGAACAAATTCAATGCGGATGATTTTAGTGAACATTCTCAGAAACCCATTGAATTGGCTGGAAAAATCGATTTCCTCGTACGAGTTGTACTGATAAAAAATGACAAAAAAACCGGAGAACAGTTAGAAGATAATTAATGGCAAAAAATTAATTAGAATTCTGAACCAGTTGGTTCAAAGCGTTCATTCGGCGTGAAGCTTTGATGAGGAGGATTCACAAATCATTATTTGGCTGTTGCAATGCGAACTGGAACAGAAACTTCATGTGCAAAGCAGTGAGGCAAAATTTCATGTTTTTCGTCCCGTTTTGCATGTTTCTCGGAAGCAAAATGAGCAAGAACGCTCGTTTTTACATCATTCCAGAGAGAGATAACTAAATGGCCTTTATTCGAAGTTTCTCGAGAACCATTCGAGCCACAGAATTCGTTTTGGCATCGTTATATAGAGAATTGAAAAGTCCATTCGTAACAAGGTGAGACACTTAGGTGCAAGATTATGCCAAAACTCCATGTTTTCCGTCCCGTTTTTGCTCATTTCTCGGAGGCAAAATGAGCAAGAACGCTCATTTGTACATAATTCTAGAGAGAAATAAATGGCCTTTTTA